ATGATGGTGCTGGTGCTGGTGATGATGATTATGATGGTGATGGTGATGATGATGGTGCTGGTGCTGGTGCTGGTGATGGTCATGATGATGATGCGAACGATGATTTTGACTATGATTTTGGTAATGATGATGGATGGTGATGATGATGATGATGATGAGGAGGAGGAGGAGGAGATGGAGGAGGACGAGGAGGAGGAGGATGATTGTGATGGTGATCATGGTGGTGATGATGCTGCTGATGATGCTGCTGCTGATGATGATGATGATGATGATGAGATGATGATGATGATGATGATGATGATGATGATGATGATGATGATGATGATGATGATGATGATGATGATGCTGCTGATGCTGGTGGTGGTGGTGATAAGGATTGTGATGATGATGGTGGTGATGATGGTGGAGAAGGTGATTTTCCTGGACATCTTGCCCTCTCAGCGCTCGATCAAGGTTTCCTCGTCGTTTGTACTGATGATTCATGAGAGGACCAGGAGTAGCGCCAGTACCCCACAAGTCCACGGGTCACACGGCACTCAGCGCCTCGTGGGCTTCAGCCAGGGGTAAGGCTTAGCCGATCCAGGCGGCGGCGGAAGAATCGAGTAATTGTTGGGCATCTTTGCTAGCGCCGCTTGGAGGGCATCTAGCTGTTGGGGCAGAGTTAAAGGGCGCCCGTCTTGATGAGAGGCCATATCTTTGGCCACGTGGTATATATATATATATATATGTATATATATTTAGAAGCTGAGGGCAGTAGCTAAAATGGCATTTTCCCGGGTGAGGTCACACGCGGGATATTGCACAGGAAGGCCAAGCCCGAGGCGGAGGAGTGGGCACGACGAGACGACAGCTCGAGGACGACAAACGAGATGGGTGAGGCGGGGGCACGTCAAATAGTGTGCAATGCGATCGGGTTGAGGGCACCCGAAAATGCAGCTCCACTTGATGTCCGTGACGTGCAAGCGGTGAGTGGTCGTCCATCCCCCCGCAATCGTTTTGAGGTACGGCCATCGCACCATGGGTGGAGCCTGGCTCAAGATGTCCCGCACCAAATCCCACCTCTCCCTGAGCCGGATGGGGGTCGGACAAGAAAACCATGCGCGCAATCGCCGACCAATTAGCAACTGCAACTGGTCAGGATAAGCGTCGCCGGCAAGGGAGCGCTGATACACTCCCTGCATCCGCGGTCGACGATTCAGTGCGAACGCAGCGCGCAGGGCACCGCGCGCCCGCTGTTGGGCAACACGGAGGTGCGTTGAGGTAAGGGGAGGATTCGATGCTGGCGCGGCGGACGCAAGCTCGTTGCTGATGAGTGGCAGGTTCCCGCAATGAAGTGGGGTGCTAGGTGCACGGAGCTTGGTGAGCTGCAGTCATCAGCCGACCTAGCATCGCGATTGTACAACTCTGCGGTGCTTACCTGCACGTCATATGTGGCACAGTTCTTTCCGGTCGATAAGGCTTTGAACGATCGTGAGCTTTGGGGTCTCCACAAGGCCCTCCACCTCCCTCCGAACTCGTTCTCTCGCTCCGAGTTCCTCTCTTTGGCCAATTGGTCTCCTTCCCCTACCCCCACCTCTCTACTCACGAATGCCATGGCGTGCGCATGGAGGTGCGCGTCCGTTACGCTAGACACGAATTGGGGGCCGCTGTATCGACGATTGGAGGTCGCCGCTCAGGAGTCTCTGAGCCTTCCCGCTCTCAGCAGTGGCACGTGGTGTGCACCGTGCTGGGCCCGCAAGCAGGCCATTGTGCAAGAGAGGACCAGGAGTAGGAGGAGGAGGAGGAGGAGTAGCAGCAGCGGGTGGATGAGGAGAGGGGGGCGCATGACGAGGGCGACCATGAAAGGGGGTGGTGGAGGGAGGAGAGGGGGACGGAGTGGAGGTCAATACCTGGAGGGCGAGGGAGCTCACGCAGAGGCCGAGAGGGAGAGCGATGACGGAGTCCCGCTTCTCGAGGCTCCCCCGAGGGCCCCCGGAGAGCCCCCAGAAGGGCGCCCCGCAGACGCCCACAAACCTCGACCTGCGCACCTCGACCTGCGAACCTCGACCCTCGACGCCGACGATGGCGGCAGCGACGACGGCGGCGATGCCGACAGGCAGCGACGACGGCGGCGACGACTGCGGCGGGCTCTGCCGCGGGAGGCTCCGCCGCGGCAAGCGCCTTCGGCGCGCCGCCGGGGGCGCTGCGGCCTGCGGCGCGACGGGGGCGGCGCGCTGCGCGTACGGCTCGTCGCCCTCGCCCTCGCCGCCCTCACTCTCGCCCTCGCCCACGCCGCCGCCGCCGCCGCCGCCGCCGCCGCCGCCGCCGCCGCCGCCGCCGCCGCCGCCGCCGCCGCCGCCGCCGCCGCCGTCGTCGTCGTCGTCGTCGTCGTCGTCGTCGTCGTCGTCGTCGTCGTCGTCGTCGTCGTCGTCGTCGTCGTCGTCGTCGTCGTCGTCGTCGGCTCCTCCACCGCACCCTTCTCTTGCCCCTCCGATCCCAGGGTGGCACCAGACTGCTGTCGAACATCTGCCCCCTCGACGCCGCCGCCGACGGTGCAGATGCCCACGTCGCCGCCGCCGCCTCCGCCGCCGCCGGGCTCTCCAGGAGGGCCCCGGGGGCCCCGGAGAATCCCAAAGGCGGGCAGGGCGCGGCAGGCCTCAGTGACGGGCCGTCCGCCGTCGGCGGGCGCCGGGGGCACCCGACGCGCGCTGCGCCCTGCCCTCGGCCCTCGCGGGTCGACGAGGGGAGGCCCTCTCGTTCCGGGCCCGCCTCGGGCCTCCAGGGGGCCTCCTCCGCCGGAGGCCTCCCGGAGGCGGCGCGACCGCGCCGCGGGGACCGCCCGCGGCTGCACGGCCTGCTGACGGCACGCGGCGAGCACTCGCTCCCGTCGCCGCCGCCGCGCTGCCGCCCTCGCCCCCGCCGTCGCGGGGGCCGCGGGCTCGCTTCCCGCGGCGGCGGCTGCTTCTGCGGCGGCTGCCCCTCGGGGGGCCCTGGGGGATCTCCCAGGAGCTCGGGGGGTCAGGGCCCCCGGGGCGGGGAGCAAGTACCTGCCACATAGCCCTGGGAGGGCTCCGCCCCGGGAGCACCGCACCGCCCTGTCCTCCTCGGCCCGTCGGCTCTGTGCCCTCCGAGCAGCTGCTCTCGGCAGCGCGCCGCCCCCTCCGATCCCACGGGCTCTCCCCCTCGAGGAGCACGGCGCCCTGGGCCGCGCCCCCGCCATATGGCCACGGCCGAAGCACGTGCCGAAGCCGGCCTCCCCCCCCCTCCCCTGCCCCTCGCCCTCCAGGGAACGGGGAGCGGGGGCGGCGAGAGGGGTGCCGCGAGCGAGCGGGAAACTGGCCTTCCCCCCCCCCTCCCTGCCCCTCGCCCTCCAGGGAACGGGGAGCGGGGGGCGGCGAGAGGGGTGCCGCGAGCGAGCAGGCAGGGAGGCGGTCCCGAGGGGCCGCGGGCCCCCCTTCGCTCCACGCCTCGGGCGCCGCAACCTCCGGCGCCGCCCCTCTCGCCCCCGATCGCCGGTGCCGCTCGGCCGCGCTGCGGCCATCGCTGGCGCGAGGGCGCGGCGGGCGCGGCGGGCCCCCGGCGCCTGCCGAGGAGGGAGGAGGCCACTACCTCTTTCGGCTCGGCAACACGACCCCTCCGAATCGCCGTCCACCCAGCGCCGCGCGCGGGGCGACACTTCCGGCCGCACGTGGAGGCGCAGAGGGCTTCACGAGGGGGCCACAAGAGGGCTTCACAGGAGGGAGGAGGACGGAGGGCGGGGAGGAGTCTCGGCAGAGCCGGGGCAGCAGGGGTTTAACAGGAGCAGGGCAGCGGGGAGAGTGGCGAAGGAGAGCGGCCAGGAGGCCGCGGGCGAGGGCCGAGGGACAGGGCGAGGCCGAGGAGGGAAGGGGGGTTAGAGTGAGGCAGCAGCATCGAGCACCTCACGGGGCGAAGTTTCGATAGCAATCGAACGCCGCCCTGGGACCCTGAGATCAGACGGGCAAGAGGATAATGATGATCACGGTGAGAAGAAGATGAACAAGAAGAGGAGTACCCATAATAATAATGGTAATAATACCAATGATACTTACTCACTGCGTGGAGCTCCCCATATGTGCATCGCATGTTTTATGTCATGCCATAGTGAGCGTCTGTTCATGAGCGCACTGACAAGTAAACCGCCTGAGACATCCCCACAAACTGGCCGCGAACGGGCCCGTGTCCTACCCCCTGGCGGCTCTCCTTAGGGATGCTTGTTGGGCATGAAAACGAGCAAACCGCCTGAGACATCCCCACAAACTGGCCGCGAACGGGCCCGTGAACTACCCCCTGGCCGGCTCCTTTTAGGGGTGCTGAAACCAGCGCCCCGCCGGATACATCCTCACAATCTGCTTTGAAAGCCAAGGATGTTGGGCATGAAAACGAACAAACCGCCTGAGACATCCCCAGAAACTGGCAGCGAACGGGCCCGTGAAAACACCCCTGGCGGCTCCCCTTGCGAGTCTGAGTATGACTCGGTCTGAGTATGAATAAGTCTCAGTCCGTGCGTTGAGTAACTCAAACTCTGAGAAGGTATGAAAATCTGTAGGTCTGAGTATGAGTAAGTCTGTGTATGAGCAGGTCTGAGAACGAGTCTGGGTATGAGTAAGTCTGGGTATGAAGGAGTCCCAGCATGAGTAAGTCTGAGTATGAGTAGGCCTGCATGTTGTGTGTTGAATAGATCAGACCATGAGAATGTATGAGTACAAGTAGGTCTGAGTATGAGTAAGTCCGTGTATGAGTAGGTGTGTTCTCTCTGGTTCTCTGGAGTCGGCGGCGTCCGAATAATAACAAGACCCTCCGTCTTAGGACATGGGAAACAATAGAATACGAAGGCTCATGCGAAGAATGAAGGAGACGGCGGCGGCGACGACGACGACGAATTCGACGACGAATTCGACGACGACGACGACGACGACGACGGCGACGTCGACGACAGCACTGGGCGACGGGGGGCCTGAGCCGCCCTCCGCCGCGGGGGCCCAGCCGGCCTGCCAGCCCGCCACGAGCGCCTCGACGGACTCCTGGGGCCCCCGGGGCGGGCGGGGGGGGAGAGGAGGAGGGAGGGCAGGGAGCGCAGAGGGGAGGGGAGGGAGGAGGGAGGAGGGGCCAGGCGGGAGGAGGGAGAGGGAGGGGGGGGAGAGGGAGGGAGGGGGGAGGGAGGGGGGAGGGAGGAGGGAGGGAGGGGAGGGGGGAGGGACAAGCTAGGTGCGCTCGCGTCATATCTGACATCCTACCCCTCACTCCCATCCCTTACCATGGCGCAGATCCCCTCTCTACTCGCACAGTCGGATGTCGAGCAGGGCAATGATCCCGAAAGGGTACGCGATGCATTGTAGAGCACGGCATGGCATGGCGTAGAAGAGCACCGCAAAGCGTAGCATCAACCGAGCATTGCGTTGCATGCCGTGGCATGGCACGGGAAATGACGCCAGCGCTGCAGCGGGAGCACGAGTCGCGGCCGCATCCGCGGCGGCGGAGGACCCGAGGGCTCGCCCGCGGCGGCCCTGCGCGCGGCCGCGCCCGCGCGGGAGCGGCTCGAGCTGCGGAGCCGGCCGGGTGCGCCGCCCCGCCCCCAGCGGCCTCCGCGGAGGGCCCGCGGGGCCCCAGGCAGCCGCACCGCCGCGGCGCGGCGGCGCCTCGGCGCGGCGGTGCAGCGGGCGCGAGCGGCGCCCAGCGCGGCGGCGCGGGGAGGGCGCTGCCCCTGGGCGCCCCAGCGCGGGCCGAGCCCAGTCAGCCCGATGCTGCCCGAGGCGCCCTTGTCCGGGGGGGGGGGGCCCGCGATGGCTGCCAGCCCTTGTTGGGCGTCGCGGGGGCGGAGGCGCGCAAGGACAGCGCCGAGATGCGCACGGAGGCCGTGCCAGCCACGCACCACTGCGTTGCCGACGACGTGGGCACGGAGCACGGGCACGGTGGAGTGGCCCTCGACGCCCCAGTGCTCCACCGCATCCGACTCTGGAAACCTCGAATTCCAAACGATGGACGTGCATAAGAGGGGCGTCTCCGCTGGTGGAAACGCCCCCCTTTTGCTTCCGCCGAGGAAGAGCTGCCAACTCCTCGATCTGTCCAAGGAGCCCTGCGTGGACACAGAGTACTGCGACGGCGGAGTGGCTCTCGAAGCTCTCGCCAAGGCCGTTGAGGTCGCGTGCCATCGTCAGCCCAGCCAGGGGGCAGCCTGGGCAGAAGGCGGCGCCTTGCGGAGGAGGAGCCGAGGCGACGGGAGCAAGAGGCTAGAACGAGGAGGGCGACGAATATGGTATTCGCGCGCAGCTTCGGGCAGCTCCGTGCGCCCCGTGCTCATTCAATCCTCGACGCTGCGCGACAGCTCGAACCTCGAGGTGCTCGCTGTCAGTGCAAGCAGATGGGCCACACATGGGTAAAGGAGGTACGGTCATCTTTTCGCCACGACGCTTGGAAGGCCACAGCCATGCAGACCATCTGGTCTACGGGCACGAAGGCGAGGCACGCGAGGAGGAGGATCGGATCGATGCCCGTGACGCGAGCAGCTGCCGAGGGGGTGCGGCGCTGATGGGCACTACAACCCGAGGCGCCCCCTACGCGGGCCGACTCCTACCCATTTCTCCACAGGACCTGAACCCAGGGAGAAAGAAGCAACAAGTCATGGGTGAGGGTCTCGAACCCATAGCCCTACTCACCGCCCGAGGAGGAGGAGGAGGAGGAGGAGGAGGAGGAGGAGGAGGAGCGGGAAGGTGCAGCGAGGAGCCGGAGCACAAGGACCCGAGGCCGCGACGGCAGCAGGCGCGCGGCAGCGGCGGGGAGCTGAGGACGCAGCCGCCAGGCAGAGCGCCTCCCCTCGCAGAGCCGCTCGCCCCGCGGCCTCCGTCCACGCGGCCGGGCCGCTCTGGCGGGCGCGCGACCGCGGCGCGGCCGCGACCACTGCAGCAGGCGCGGGGGGCCTGGCGCCCAAGGCCGCCGCTGCCGCCCCCGCCGCGGCTGTCGTCGTCGTCGTCGTCGTCGTCGTCGTCGTCGTCGTCGTCGGCGGCGGCGGCGGCGGCGGCGGCGGCGGCGGCGGCGGCGGTGGCGGCGTCATCGTCGTTTTGAAAAAAATCACAAACAAAACGGGCGGAAGAACCGCCGCTGCCTCCTCCGAGAAAGCTCCCGCGCGGCTGGCGCCTCGCCGCGAGGCGCAGCACGGCCGCCTTCGAGGGCAGCCCCGCGCCCGCAGGGCCCGGTGGGGCGGCGGCAGCTCCGGCCTCGCGCTGCTGCTGCGCCAGCGGCGCAGGCGAAGAGCGCGATGCTACCTACGCACGGCACGAGTGCCAATGTTGGAGGCCTGGACATGGGCACCAGCACCAGCACAGGGGGCTGCCTCCACAGGGGGAAGATGATCCTAGAAATCGGTGTCGGTGGTAATAGTTCGGTCACCTTGGAGGCCAGAATATTACCACCATCACCGAAATCGGGATCTTCTTCCCCCGGTGGAGGCGCACCGCCAGTATTGGTGTTGGTTTCAACCTCTATAGGCCTGCGACAGTGAGAGATGTCTGTGATGAGGCGAGGCTGCCTCTCTTGCTTTTGAGCCAGCTATGGTGCCCACTCGTGCCCACCCCGTCCCGTCTTCAGAGACGCCGCATCCCCCCACGACGCTGGGATCGGAAGACGGGCCGCCGCCCCCCGCGCTGCACGTACGGTGCCAGGCTCGCGGGGGCTCCCCCGACGTCGCAGCCACGCCCGCGGCGGCCTGCCATGGGCGGGGCGCGACGCGCCGAGAGCAGCCCTCGAACAGCACCGCAGCACGCTGGCGGCGGCCGGCGCGCGCACGGCCGCGGCCACCTCGGCCGCAGGGGCGCCCGCGCCCGCCACTCGCCGCAGCGCCGCCCAGGCTGCCGCCTCGGCGAGGGCGCCGCGGCGGCGCACGATCGCGACCTCGAGCTCGCGGCCGCGTGCCCCGGCTGCGTCGGCGACGAAGCCCTCTCTCTGGGCTCATCGAGAGGAGCGCCGGCGGGGTCGCTCGCGGCGACGCCCTGGGCGGCATGGGCTTCACGGGCGAGGGGAAGGCGTTGCCGAGGTGGACGATGGCCGCGCCGCCGCACAATGCCGCGAGCGCCTGACCGTCGCAGGAGCTCAACCTCCTGCACAACGTGGCCATCAACGGCAATTAGCCTGGAGGACACGCAGCCTAAACATAAACGGTCGAAGGTGAATGCAAATGCGCCGGGGGGGATGGTGGAGGCGCCGCCAGTGTGGTCCAGCGACGATCCAAGAATTCCGCGCGGAGCGCCGAACATTTACATGATTCTATGCCGTTTCCTCTTCTGCGGCGCAATGATTGGGCAGCGACGCGGCCCGACAGCACTCGCGGGGCAGAGGAGCAGGAGGTCGGGCGGCTCCTCCAGCCGCACCGCCGCGCAAGCTGCTCCTGCCACCGACCATGCCGTCCGGAGCGGGGCCCTCGCCTTGAATCGGCAGCGCCGCGCGTCTCACCTCCCCGCCCCCCTCCGCCACCCCCTCCACGCGCGCGCAGGAGAGGGCCGGGAGGGGACACGAGCGCAGCGGATGAGCCCCGATATCCCCGCCACCCCGCCGCGGCAAGGCGCAGCGCGCTCCCGGCCTGGCCGAACCCCTCGCCCGCGCCGCCGGAGTTCCCGGCACGGGCAGGAGGGCGGCGCCGCGGACGAGGGCCAGCGAGGAGCGCGAGGAGGAGGGCGAGGAGGGCGAGGAGGAGGAGGAGGCGAGGCGAGGCGAGGCGCCGGTCAGACGCCCCGGGGGGATGGCCCCACAAGAGCCCGGCGGTGGCCGGCGGTGGCACCAGAGCGCCGAGAAAAAACGAGTATGCTACCACTCTTGCTGCTAGCCCTGCTTGGTCAAGCTCCTGTGATCCCGCGAAGGCTCCATGCATGGGGAGGGCGACACGAGGAGGAGGAGGAGGAGGAGGAGGAGGAGGAGGAGGAAGAGGAGGAGGAGGAAGAGGAGGAAGAGGAGGAGGAGGAGGAGGACGGCGAGGAGGGCGAGGAGGGCGAGGAGGGCGAGCGAGGAGGGCGAGTAGGGCGAGAGAGGAGGACGAGGAGGACAGTGGGGGAAGCGAAGGCAAGAGTGGCACGGGCTGGACGAGCTCCTTCGCCAGCGCAGCGCCGGGGAGCTTCTCCGACATCCGGTGCACCTTCTGAATAGGGCGAGCGCAGCGGCGGGAGCACTCTTCCACCTCTTTCTCGCTCCACCCCGCTCCTCTTCCCCCTCCCCCAGGGGAGGTAGGAGACGGAGGAAGATCGGAATGATGATGATGATGAGTAGGAGGGGGAGGAGGGGGAGGAGAAGAGAAGGAGAAGGAGCAGCAGCAGGCGGAGGAGAAGCCATTTGGAGGAGCAGCGCCAGGAGGAGGAAGAGAGAGGAGGGTAGGACAAGGAAGAGGAGGAGGACGAGGAGCAAGAGAAGAAACGGGAGCAGGATAGTTGCAGGAAGAGGAGGGGGAGGCAGAAGCAGGAAGGTGAGTAAGGAGGAGAAATGACCAGAACAGGACAAGATGCATCAACTATTCAACAACACACCTTCCCGTCCCATGCCCCCTTCCTATCGGAAATCTTTATTCCTTCTCACTTTGGGAAGCGCCCCCTTGAAATACGAACATCCTTGGGGCTGTCATTCAGACAAGAGCCCCGTTATGAAAAGGAACTCCCCTACATCCTACAAGATGTAATAATGCGAAACGGTTTGCTGTTCAATGAGGTGTCCATCGAGACCACCGTTTTGAAAAGGAACCACCCTCCATCCGTGCAATTGTTCCGCATGTTCAAAAGTATTGGCAGACCTTTGAAATCGTCGCCAACAAAACCTCCATGTTGAACAGGAACCGCAACCCGTCCGTGTCACGGCTCGCCACGGATTTGCATATTGCCGCATGTTCCAAGTTGTCAAGCAGGGCCCCCAGTTTAAAAGGAACACCTGAGCATCCTTGTAACATCTGGGATGGAAACAAACAGCGAATCTGCGCTGCGCTTAAGCGAGAACCGCATTCTGCAAGCGACCCTCCCTCAACCCTCGTGACTGTTGAACAAAGTTTACACGAATGTGCACGGCGCTACGACCATACCCTATTTTGAAAACCAGCCTGCGCTCATCCTTGTCACTGGTGAAACCGCTGAACATTCAGGCCGTAGGCGGAGAGGAAGTCCCAAGCGAGACGGTTGGCCCGCCCTACCGAACCGCCTGGTGGTGCGACGAAGAGTCCTTTATGAGGAAGAGGGGATGGCGGATGATGGAGGAAGCAGGGGAGGAGACAGCGAGAAAAAGGGATGGTGGGGTAGAAGCCTGCGAATGACCTCTGGGGGCTATTGAGAAACAACGGGCCAGTGCCGGGCAAGTGTGGACACGGTAAAGCGGCCGAGCAACTCTTTTCGGGGCGGAGTGCGCCCGAAGGCACGTCCGGTACAACGAGTGTTGCGATGTTTGTCCGGCACGGTCCGAGGACCAGCGCGAATGCCAAACTTGATCATGAGGAGTACTGCGCATGTCGATACCAGGCCGCCCGCTTGCGCGGCCCACCTTATGAGAACAGCTGCCGGCGGCCGAGAAGCCAACAGAGCACACAGATGCGAGCGCAGTCAGGATTGAACAAGTGGCGAATCGAGGCGAGATAACGAAGAACGCTCTGTGACAACTGAACGCAGAGCGTACGCACGGAACAAAAAACAAGAATGAACCGCCGCAGAAGAAACAGAAAACAGATATACGCAATACCTGCGACCTGCGCATCAAAACGGTTAACCCCAAACATGAGGCGCCAAAACGACAACAAGCGTGAGCCCGCTCCTTACTGGTTGCACTGCCCTTTTTCGGTTTGGGCTCCTCGATCTACCTGTTCCCGTTGCGGATGTTCCGCTCACAATCGTTCCGGAGGGCATGGGGTTGCGCTTCGGAGCGGCTCGAGCCAAAATGCCACCAGGCGAAATCGTTTCGCAAGATTTGGGGGCCAATTCCCACCGCCACCCAGAGACCCCACCCCATCCGATAGGAATGGCCGCACGCTGTGCTGTTACATCCTCTTTGCAGGAGCGCATGCGACTCCGTGACCAAAGCGACAAGAAGCGAAAACTACAACCAGCATGGACCCAATCTTGATACACAGGTTGCCCTGCCATTTGTTCGACTCGGGCTCCTTGAGTTCTCTGTGCTCCTGGCGGATTCCATGCCGCTCTCTGGATACGACTCTTCTCAGGAGACAGGTGCAGTCCCGCAGCGCTCTCGGAACAGGACGTGCCTCAAGAGCTGGGTACAGTCCAGCAGCACTTGAGGAAACCCTACTCGCAGAGAGATACCAGTGTGTTGTTGGCGGCGCCCAGGCGTGCGAAGTTGTGAACTTTAGTATCATGGCGGGTTCAAGAAACTCTGAACCAAAAAACCTGGCCACCTCCTGGGAGGCAGACTTTTGCTTCCTTACCAGCGCAACACCCCAGACAAATCCATCGGACGCCTAGCCTCCGACCCTCTGGCGCACGTGCTCACTCCTCTGGAACCTCTACCTCGTTGTGCTCTGCATGCTTGAGGTTGCGCCGTGTATACGGTTGGCTTTGAGACCGTTGCCTCCGCCGCCCTCCGCCGGCGGAGCCGCCCCCCCTTGTGTTTGGACGCCCGACATGGGTACCGAAAAAATGGGCACTATGCCCAACAACAAATGTTGTCCCAAGCCAACAGCGGCCGCTGTTGGGCAGGCGGCCTTCTGTCTCGGATGGACACAGGCCGCGGCGGCGTGGACAGCGACTCCTGTTCAAAGTGAACAGGAACTGCTGTCGGGCATGGTACCCATTCTTTCAGTACCCATTTCGGGCGTCCAGATTGTGGGCTCCGCCGCCCTCCGCCGGCCTTCCCGCCGAAGACGAGAGACGGCGGCTCCTTCGGCCCTCGAGGGCGAGGCCCCCTGTCGGCACGCCCCACGCGCTCTTGGCGGAGCCCCCGCGCTCGAAGAGGTGGACTCTCGATGGGTCACGGCGGCGCGGTGCGCTGCGGCGCGGGCCGCCCCGGGCGGCTCTCGGGCCCAGCTGCGCCCGGCTGGGGCGCACGCGTGCGTGGATGCTGTCCCCCCCGGCAGGCTTCGCAGCGCGGTGCGCGCGCCGCCGTGGCCTTGTCGCTCTCCTCCGTCTCGCCGAACTCCCAGATGACCACCTGGGCGACGGAAAGAGAAGGGGACTGGCGCGAGATGGCATAGCGACCCTACGCAGTGGCTCACGCGGGCCGCCAGCGAGGCAGCATACTGCATGGGACACGAGGGCGCTCACGCGTGACCTTACGCGGGCAGCTTACGCGCGAATGTCGGCGCAGACGACCCTGGTTTCTGCGCCGCTCGCCTGGCGAGGCGCACGCGCGGCGACGAGCCAGACGAGGCCCCAGGCGGAGGAGGGCGGGGGAGCAGGCGGGGGAGGAGAGGGAGGAGGGAGGAGCCGCGCCAGCAGTAGTCAGGAATGCGCACTCAAACACGCGGGATACGACTGGGGAGCAAGAGAAGGGACGAAGAGGAGGAGGAGGATGAGGAGGAGGAGGAGGAGGAGGAGGAGGGGGAGGAGAAGGAGGAGGAGGAGGAGGATTACCCTGGGGATTACCCTGAGAGGTACGGGTGTACCGAAGGAGGAGGAGGAGGAGGAGGAGGAGGAGGAGGAGGAGGAGGAGGAGGAGGAGGAGGAGGAGGAGGAGGGAACAAGACGAGGACGCGGAAGGGGATCACTCGACGGCGCCCTTCCGTGGCGGCCCAGCCGCGCCGCGGGCCCTGGAGAGCATCGCCGCACGGGGGAGCGGAAGCCCCAGAGGCAGCAGACAGACCTCGTGCCGGGCGGCCCCCACCGCGCGAGCTGCTCCTCGGTCGTGCGCGCGGCGCCCTCTGCGCCAACACTGGCTGCGCCCCGCGTCGCCACGAGTAAGGCGTCCTCCTCCTCCTCCCTCCTCCTCCCTCTTCCCTCCTATATCTTTATCTCCTCCTCCTCCTCCTCCTCCTTCTCCTCCTCCTCCTCTTGCTCCTCTTGCTCTTCCTCATCCTCCTCCTGCTCCTACTCTCCTCTTTCTCCTCTCTCTCTCCTTCTTTCTCCTCCTCCTCCTCCTCCTCCTCCTCCTCCTCCTCCTCCTCCCCGTTCTCCTCCTTCCCACCATACGAGCGCTCGGGGCATCGAGGTCCCCGTCCCGCAGAATCTGAACGGTCGGCTGCGCGCAGCGAGCGGCCCTGGGCGGGAGGCGGCCCCCTGGCGCGTGGCCTGCCGAGCGAGGGGGGCGGGAGGGGTGGGAGGGCGAGCGAGGCGGAGGACGGGAAAGGGGAAGGGCAGGGAGAGATCACGAGGTGTGCGCACACGGAGGCAGCAAAAACGCACCGATGGCCTCGCAAGGTCTGGCGGCGCGCAAACTGCAGGTGGTGCGAGGGAGGCGGCTCTCTGGGAAGGCAAGGCGCTCATCGGATGAGCTCGGCCCCTTGCGGGAGGCTTCCGTGACGGCGCCTGAAAGGCCAAGAGCGGCCGTTGCCCTGGACGCTGTCAGATGGTCTGGTCCTCAACTTCCTCCTCCTTCTCCGCCTCCTCCTCCTTCTCCTCCTCATCCTCCTTCTCGGTTTGCTCCTCCCTCTCTCCTTCCCCATCGCCTCCTCATCTCATCTGGCGCCTCCTCCCCCTCCGCCGTCCTCAACACGGTACGTTTCCTCTTCCTCCTGCCGCCGCGTCTGCTGCTTACCCTCTCCTCCTAATCCTCCTATTCTTCCCCCTTCTCATCATGCTAAACCTCATGCTCATTGTCCTCCTCCTCCTCCTCCTCATCCTCCTCCACCTCCTCCTCCTTCTCCTCCTCCTCCTCCTTCTCCAGGTCATTCCGCTCCCCCTTCCCCTCGTCATCTTCCTCCTCCTCCTCCTCCACCTCCTCCTCCTCCTCTCCTCCTCCTCCTCCTGCATCATCATCATCATCATCTCATCATCATCATCATCATCATCATCATCATCATCATCATCATCATCATCATCATCATCATCATCATCATCATCGTCGTCGTCGTCTCGTCGTCGTCGTCGTCGTCGTCGTCGTCGTCCTCCTCGTCCTCCTCCTCCCCCTTCCTCCCCCCTCCTCCTCCTCCTCCTCCCCTCCTCATCCTCCTCCTCCTCCCCTTTCATCATTATCATCATCATCATCATCATCATCATCATCATCATCATCATCATCATCATCACCATCCTCTCATCCTCATCCTCATCCTCATCCTCATCTTCATCATCATCACCATCATCATCATCATCGTCATCATCATCTCAGCATCAGCATCATCACCATCACAATCAGCATCAACATCAGCATCAACATCATCATCACTATCATAATCAACGTCATCACCATTATCATCGTCATGATCATCACCATCATCACCGTCATCACCATCACCACCATCATCAGCATGACCACCACCACCATCAACATTATCAGCAACATCATCAGCATCACCGCTAACGTCATCAGCATCAGCATCAGCATGCGCATCAGCATCAGCATGAACATCATCATCAGTATCCGCATCATCATGTTCATCATTCTCATCATGATCATGATTACCCCAGCGCGACCCTACCTAGAAGTTGGAGCCCCTAGGAAACCAGCATTAGTTGCTATGCTATGCTATGCTATGCCATGCTATGCTGCGCTATGCTATGCTATGCTATGCTGCGCTATGCTATGCTGTGCTATGCTAAGCTAAGCTATGTCATGCTGCGCTGTGTTATGCTAAGCTATGCTATGCTATGCTATGCTAAGCTGCGCTATCATATGCTATGCTATGCTATGATATGCTATGCTATGCTATGCTGCGCTATGCTATGCTGCGCTATGCTATGCTATGATATGCTGTGCTGCGCTATGCTATGTTACGCTATGCTATGTTGTGCGCTGCTATGCTATCAGCGAAGCTAAGATGAAGGTCAGCTAAGCTAAGATAAACCTGAGCTAAGATGAAGCTAAGCTAAGCTAAAATGAAATAAGCTAAGCTAAGATGAGATAAGCAACGCTAAGCTAAGGGGACGTAACTGGGGGGACCGCGGGGCGGATCCTGGGGGAACCGCCCGGCCCGGTTCCCACTGTCCGGCCCTTCAAGCACATAGAGTAAGAACCCTTCTAGGCAGAGCCTAGGTAGGGAATCATCATTAACATCATTATCATCATCACCATCATCATCAGCATCATCATGGCCATGATCATCATCATCATCATCATCATCATCATCATCATCATCATCATCATCGTCGTCGTCGTCGTCATCATCATAATCATCATCATCAGCAGCAGCACTATCCTCATCTTCATCATCATCACTCCCTACGTCCGTCCCTTCCCTCATCCTCTACCATCCTCTTCCTCCATCTCCCTCCTCCTAGTCGCGCCTATCCACCCTCATCCCATCTCCTTCTGCTTCCTCCTCCTTCCTCCTCACCCGTGCCCTTTTCCTCTTCCCCTTCTCATCTGGCTCCTGGTCGTCATCGTCATCATAATCATCATCATCATCATCATCATCATCATCAGCAGCATGAGCATCAGCATCAGCATCAGAAGCAACATCATCATCATCAGCCTCAGCCTCAGCATAATCACCATCATCGCCATCACCACCACCACCACACCACCACCACCACCACCATCATCATCATCATCATCATCATCATCATCATCAGCATCATCATCATCATCAGCATCACCATCATCAGCATCATCATCAGCAACATCATCATCATCACCATGATAATAACCATCATCACCACCACCATATCATCCTACTCCATGCCACCGTTCCATAGAATACGGCGCACCAGTTCACTTGAGGCTGCCAGCATCAGCGCAACCTCTGTTGTACACATCAGGACTAGGAGGGAAGGAGAGATAGACGAGGGGGAGGACAAGTACAAGCAGGAATCGAGGAGGAGAAATGGGGATGAGGATGAGGAGAAGGATGATCAGTCGCGGTAGGAGCAGAGGACGAGGAGAAGCAAAAGCAGAACAAGAAAGAATATGAGCAGGAGACGGAGAACAGGAGGAGAAAGAGAGGAGGGTGAGGAGGCTCAGGAGGATGAAGAGGACGACGACGTCGCCGACAATGAGGAGGAGGAAGACGACTAGGAAATACCCGGAGGGGGGCAGGGAGGGAGGAGGGAGGAGAAACGAGGGAGGAGAGAGGCGGAGGATGCAGGATGGAAGGAGGAGGACGAAAACAAAGAAATATAGAGAGGAAGGTTCGACGTGGCCATGTCCAGCCGGGGCCCGTTGCAGAGAACACCGGCGAAGAAGCAAATGAGTGAACTCGACTGAAGCGGCATAGTGGTCCAGGCCATGTTTACGTGTCCTCGTGAATCTCCTCCTGTTCTTCCTGCTCCATCTGCTGGTGCTCCTCTCTCCCTCGTGATCCTGATCCCTCTTCATCAATCCCGCCGTCCGCCACATCATCATTACGACTGCCAAAAATGACCATCACCATCACCATCACCATCACAGCATAATCATCGCCATCATCATCATCATCATCATCATCATCATCATCATCATCATCATAATCATCATCATCATCATCATCACCATCATCAGCAGCATCCTCATCATCATCACCACCACCACCATCATCATCATCAGCATCATCATCGTCACCGTCACCATCACCATCTTTATCATCATCAGCACCACCATCATCAACAACATCATAATCCCCCTCCTCGTCCTCCTCTTCATCACCATCACCAGCATAACCACCACCACCACCATCATAGTCATCATCATCGTCGTCATCATCATCACCATGAAACTCAGCATAATCATCATCATCACCATCATCATCATCATCATCATCATCATCATCATTATCATTATCATCGTGATCATCGCGATAACCCTCATCATTATCAGCCCCATCAGCATCATCATCCTCATCTCAATATCATCATCACCATCATCATCATGATCTTCGTGATCATCATGATCATCGTAATCTACATCACCATCCTCAGGGTCATCATCATCATCATCATCATCATCATCATCATCATCATCGTCATCGTCATCGTCATCGTCATCATCATCACTACCATCATAATCATCAAGATCATCGTGTGATCACAATGACCATATTCGTCGTCATCACCATCATCATCACCATCATCGCCATCGTCATCCTCATCATAGTCAGCAATATCATCATCATAATCATCGTCATCAACATAACCTTCAGCATCAGCATCGTAGTCGTCACCATCATCGTCATCATCATCAGCATCGTCATCATCATCATTCTCATTATCAGCATCACCATCCGCAGCATCGTCGTCGTCATCGTCATCGTCATCGTCATCGTCGTCGTCGTCATCATCATCATCATCACCATCATCGTGATCATCACTAGCATCATCGCAACCTCCCCTAGAATCTGAGCCTTGGGGGGTAGTGACGGAGTGAGGGAGTGAGGAAGGATGGGGAAGTGCCAGAGAGTGAGTAAGGGCATGTAGTGGACATATAGAGGATGGGAAGGGAGGGAGGACATGAACGAGGAATGAGGGACGGGGAACAGGAAGTTGGAAGGAATGGGCGGGGAGGAGGGCTAGCTAGTGGGTGGGAGGGGACAGGAAGTTGGAAGGAAGGAAACAGGGGCAAGGGAAATCAAGGGAAATGCGCAGGAAAATGAGAAGATGAGAACAAGGATCAGAACAGGAAGAGTGGAGGGATGCGAATGGGAGGGAGGGACGAGCCTCCCTGTCTTCCTCCTCGATCCTCCTGCTTCTCCTGATCGTCGTCATCGTCGTTGCCGTCACCGCCCCCGTCGCAGCCGCCACTGTCGTCGTCGTCGTTGCCACATGATCATGTTGATGCTCCCCTCTCTTACTCCTCTTCCTCCTCCTCCTCCCCATCCCTCCTCCTCTTGTTGTTCCCTCCTCCTCCTCCTCCCTCCCATCCAGCCTCCCCTCCCCTCCCCCTCCCTTCCCTGCCCCCTTTTAAAACTCCAACTCCTCACACATCTGCTGGAGGACGCGGGAAGAAGGGTGAAAGAAGGGGAGGAGAATGAGAAGGAGCAGCAGGCAGTAAAAGGCAGGAGGAGAGTGAGGAGAAGGAGGAGGAGGGAAGAGGTAAAAGGGATAGAAAGGAAGAGGAGGAGGAGGACAAGGGGGAGGAGGAGGAGAAGAAGAGTAAATGAGGAGGAGGAGGAGGAGGAGGTAGAGGACAAAAGGAAGGCAAACATCTATCCTCAGCACGCGGCCACCTCCGGGAAATCGCCCCTGGACAGCTTGACGCTCTTCGCGAAGCTCACGCCGAAGTCGTCCCCCTGGAGCGGGGGGCGAAGCTGGGCGGAGGGCGCTCCCCGTGGAGGAGGGGGAGAAGAAGGAGCAAGAGGAGGCGGGGAGGGTGGGCGGAGGAGGAGGGGTAGCGGAGAGAGAGAGAGAGAGAGAGAAAAGAGAGAGAGAGAGATAGAAAGAGAGAGCGAGAGAGAGAGAGAGAGCGACAGAGAAAGAAAGAGAGAGAGAGAGAGAGAGAGACATACACACATATATATATATATATATATACAGATGTAGAAACATACAAAAAAAGAGGCGGAAGAGAAGGAGGAGGGGACGGAAGCAAGGGACGGTGAGAGGGGGAGAAGGTCAGGGAGGACGGAGGGAGAGGTCGAGAGCGGAGGAGGCCGAGGAGGAGGGGATGAGGGGAGGTCGAGGAGGGGAAATACTCGGAGGAGGGAGGAAGAGGAAGGGGATAGCCAAAACGGCCACGGACGGAGAGTGGAGAGAGAGAGAGAGGGGGAGGGGGGGAGGTTGAGGAGGAGGAGGAGGAGGAGGAGGAGGAGGAGGAGGAGGAGGGGAGGAGGAGGAGGAGGAGGAGGGAGGAGGCTTAGACGAGGAGATCATCCGATCATAGCCAGTGCAACGTAAAACAAACAAGAGGAGAAGAAGGAGGAGGAGATGAGAGAGGAGGAGGAAGGAAGGAGGAGGAGGAGGAGGGAGGGGGGAGGAGGAGGAGGAGGAGGGGGGTGGAGGAGGGGGCACAGAACCACGGAAGAACAGCGGCAGCGTGGCCGCCCAGCTCTCGCCCGCCGGCCAGGAGGCCCACGCGGGGGACGACTCTCCGGCGGTGCCCGCTTGCCTGCTCCCCCGCGGCGCCACGGCCGCCTGCAGCCCGACGCGGGCCCTGCTGCCGCAGAGCCGCGCCCGCCGGCACGCGCTCCCGCCTCGCCGCACCGCCGCGCCCGCCGGCACGCGGAAGGGAGAACGGGAGGGAGAGAGGGAGGGAAGGAGGGAGGGAGAGGGAGGGAGAGAGGGAGGGAGAGGGAGGGAGAGGGAGGGGAGGGAGAGAGGGAGGGAGGGGACGGAGGGGGGCGGCGGCAGCGCGCACTGCAAGCGCTCGCGGGCGCGCCGCGCCGCGGCCGGCTGCAGCGCGACGCCGGGCCCAGAGGCCCGACGTCCAGACCTCGGTGGGAGCAGGAGGTCCGGGCCGCTGCAGGCCTCCGGGGCGCGGTGGCAGAGCCTGGGCGCCGAGGCGGCGCGAAGTGTATTACACCGCCCGCGCCTGCTCCCGGGCGTGTCCGACGAGGGCCGAGCCTCGGGCGGGCGGTCGCTCGCGTTCCCTCGCTCTGGTGCCGCAGCGCAGCGGGGGGCCTCCTGCTCCCCCGGTCTCCTCCCAGCCAGGCAGCTCTTGCTCCCGCTGATCGCCGCTACAGTCGGGCTGCTGAAATAAGGAGCGCTGAATAAGGAACGAAGCCCCTGTGCGGCTTCAAAAAAGCCTGGGTGCACGAGAAGGGCTAGAGGAATAACCGCGGAAGGACGTAAGGAACATCCAGCCCCTTCCGAATCCAAGCTGTTGCTTATTTCAGCGTCTTGGCTGTAGATCCTGGATCCTAGACCACCGACATCATGACTTCTTTACGACGTCGGCCCCCAAAGGTCTGGACCCATTCCCTGGGGCCAACTTTTCATCCTGAGCCGCTGTTTGAGGGTCCCGGGGCCTGGCGAGGGCCCCTAACCGCGGCCAGAAAACCTCCCGTCGCGATCTTTTCATGACGCGAGGGGGTCTGGGTTTCGCACCTGTAGTGTCAGTGGTGCCTGCTCACAGTAGGCGTGCAAGACAGGCGCCTCGAGATCGATCTCGAGCACGGACGAGGAGATGCGGGCGGCCAAGAGCGCCTAGTACGACAGATGGAGATTCTCCTGAGCCTCCTCCATCGTCTCGTATTGCGGGCGTCGCTCCTCCTCCTCCTCCTCCTCCTCCTCCTCCTCCTCCTCCTCCTCCTCGCTCCTCGCTCCTCGCTCCTCGCTCCTCGCTCCTCGCTCCTCGCTCCTCCTCCTCCTCCTCGCTCCTCCTCCTCCTCCTCCTCCTCCTCCTCTCCTCCCTCCTCCTCCTCCTCGCTCCTCGCTCCTCGCTCCTCGCTCTCGCTCCGCTCCCGTTTGCGCGGCCTCCCTCCGTGGCGCCGCAGCGCGCGCACCGCGGCACGGCACGAACTGGCTGCTGCCGCGGCCCGCCCCTGCCGCCCCCGAGGCAGGGCGAGAGAGCGGCGGGCGGGCCCGCGCGGCCGTGGCTCGCCCCGGGGCGTGTCGCACTAGGGGGGACGAGGAGGAGAGGAGGAGGAGAGAGGAGGAGGGGAGGGAGGAGGAGGAGGACAGCGTACAGGGGAGGAGGAGGAGGAGGAGGAGGAGAGAGGAGGAGGAGGAGGAGGAGTGAGGAGGGGAGGAGGAGGGGGCAGGACGTCCCCTCGCCCGAGGGCGAGGGGACGTCCCCTCGCCCGAGGGCGAGGGGACGTTCCGCCCCCCGCGCCCTCGGGCGTGCCGCACTCAGGGGGCGATCCCTGGGGGGGGGAGGTCGGGGGCTGCGGGAGCGGGAGCCGTGCACGCCAGAGGTGCGCTGGTGGCACGGTGGAACGGACACGGCTGGGTGCGAAGCCTGGCATCGGAGGAGGAGGAGGAGGAGGAGGAGGAGGAGGGCGAGGACGAACGACCACGAGCGAAGGGACGAGGGAAAACGCGAGAGGTCCGAGCTCGAGAGCACAGCCGTGCCCGTGCCAGAGAATCCACATCACGCCCGAGGCCCGGGCGTGGCTTGGGGGAGAGGGGCCCTGGCAAAAGAGGCAGCACAGCGCGGAGGTCTGGGCCTGGAGTGTGGGGAGACTTGGCCCTGGTCCCGGCGGCCTTCCCCGGACCCGCTCTCTCAATCAGCACGCGTGCCGCTTTGCGACTGCCCCCCTGGGGCCCCCGGAGGGCCCATGGTGGCCCCAGGCGCGGCGGGGAAGACCTCCAGGACCCCTCGACGACTATGACGACGACGACGACGACGACGGCGGCGACGACGACGACGACGACGACGACGACGACGACGACGAAACGACGACGACGACGAAACGACGACGACGACGACGACGACGACGACGACGACGACGACGACGACGACGACGACGACTATGACGACGACGGCGACGACGACGACAACGACGACGACGACGTCTGGCGGCTGGCCGCGCCAGACGCCAGACGAACAGCGCGAGGGCAGACGCCAGATGTACAGCGAGGCCGGGTCAGGAGGGCGTGCGGTAGGGACGCAAGGCCTCTGGACGCCGGAGTCGATGCCGAAGTTGGAAGCCCATGCTCGCCGTCGCTCGGACGTCCATTCCCTGTGCTTTTGTTCGGTTTCGTGCGTAGTTTTTTTCGCAACATGGTCAAGGATGCTCCTCGATGGTCCTCGCCGAAGGAAAAATGCACACGTCCGAGCGATGCCAGGCATGGCCCATGGCCTGTGGCTCAGGGTCAAGATGGGCCGAGAGGCAAGGGTGCCATGGGGGGCACCCTTGGAACATCACTCGTGCTGATGCTCCTGCTTGACTGTGCTGGCGTCTGACCGCGTCAGGCGCCAGGCGTTGGGCGCGGTCGCATCGGCGACAGCTGAGATCCCACGTTGCGACGAACATGCAACGTCGCGAGAAATCACGACCGCAGCCCTGGGCCAGATCTCCGCGGCATGTTTCGAGCCAGATCGATCCGCGGTGGGGCTCCGAAGCCAGGCGAAATCGCCCGGCATGGAAAGACTGCAACAGCTGGATCTCAGGGGCGGCGCCGAGCTTGGTCTTCGGGTCATAGCTCGGGCCTGCGGCGGCCGTTCGGGACAATCCGGGCACCCCCGGAAAGCTCTCGACGAGGCGCAGTTCGTGGAGAGCATCCCGAGGCTGGAGCACCGCCGAGAACCAGCGGAAACTTCCCACAGCTCCGCCGCTGGAGAGCACCCCGAGGCTGGGACGCCGCCGAGGACCAGTTATAAAACGCCGAGACAACCTCCGCGGCCCCCCAGGCGGCGGCGCGTCGTTCGCGAGAGCCGCCCGCGCCTGGCCGTAGCAAACGGCACCGCCCGACGCGCGCGCGCGTGCGGGGAGCGCGCGCGCGCGCGAAGGGCCGCGCCTGCGCGTGGACCCACTTCAGGCGCGCGCCGGGGCGCGCGAAGCGCGTGGCGAGCTCGTGCATGTCGCGCCTGAGGGGGGGAGGGCGACCGACCGCGCGCGCCTGGAGGGAGGAGGGCGGAGGAGGAGGAGGAGGAGGAGGAGGAGGAGGAGGAGGAGGAGGGAGGGGAGGGAAGAGAAAACGAGGAGGAGAAAATGAGGAGACGAGGAACCGCCCTACGTGCAGAAGAACGGCCCTACGAGAGCACGGCGGTTGGGCTAGAGCCCAGGATGCACTTTGCATCTCTGTGCGATTCATGAGCGTGAAAGCTCGCGGAGGAGGAGGAGGAGGAGGAGGAGGAGGAGGAGGAGGAGGAGGAGGAGGAGGGAGAGCGACGACGACGACGATTACGACGAACGGCAAGATCCAAGACAAATTGGCAAAGGACCTCCACTCTGGAAGAGGCCGGCGAAACGTCAACACGCACGTGTCAGTATGCATACGGAGAGGCGGAAGAGTGGAAGGAGCGAAGGAACGCGAGGTGCATGAATCAACTGGAGGCATGTGCAGCTCAAGAGGTTTACCAGGAAAAGGATGATGATGTCCTTGTTGCTTCCTTCACGAAATGCCGACGATTGTGACTGTTTCACTGGAGTTGCCTGGCGAACCGAAGACATGGTGTCCGTTACTGTTCGACTCAGGGTTCACGCCATCGTCTTCAATAACCAGTTTATGTCTGTACTTCTCTCTGACTGCGCAATTAACTAAAGGAGAAGATGAGGAGGATGAGCAGGAGGAGGAGGAGGAAATGATCAGGAGGAAATGAAAAGGAGGAAATGAGAGGGAGGAAATGAGGGGGAGGAAATGAGGAGGAGAAAGAGGAGGAGGAGGAGGAGGAGGAGGAGGAGCAGCAGCAGCAGCAGCAGCAGCAGCAGCAGGCGCCCCACCAAAGGGGGAGGAGGAGGAGGAGGAGGAGGATGAGGAGGAGAAGGAGGAGGAGGAGGAGAAGCATGAGGGCGAGGGGGGCGGAGGAGGGTAGCGGGAGCGAGGGAGGAGGGAGGGCGACCGCGCGCGGGCGGAGGGAGGAGGGCGGACCCCGATATTCGGGCACTGCGATGTTGTTCACACCGAACGTTTTCGCCCGATTTCTGGCTCTGGGCCATCACAGATCGATCGAGATGGGGTTCAGGGCTCGGGCCGTGACTTTTCGCAATGGCGTAAGTGTTTCGCAGCGTCGGATCTCGACGAAGGAAGAGAAAATGAGAAGGAGGAGGAGGAGGAGGAGAAGGCGGAGGAGGGGCCCCTCCACAGGGGAAGGATGAGGACGAGGACGAGGAGGAGGAGGAGGAGGAGGAGGAGGAGGAGGAGGGCGAGGAGGGCGAGGGGGGTGGAAGAGGGTGGCGGGAGAGAGGGAGGGATGAGGAGGGGGGGAGACGAAGGAGGGATGGGCGGAGGAGGGAGGATGCTGGGATAGAGAGAGAGAGAGGAGAGATTCTTGTTTGCAGCATCGTGATGCCAACGGCTTGCCGCTGAAGGTCAACAGCGATGGTCAACAGAAAGCCGGATGCGAGAATATAGTCCAATCGTAGGCCGCGGGCGACGAGTGCAGCGGGCAATCTTTCCGCATACACTTAACTCAGCAATTACGCCCACCCGCCTAAGCAATACCAACCAATGCCACCACTACGAGGGAGCGTCCCGTTGTATCACCAGCAAGCTAAGGCTCACATTCCAGTTGAATGCGACTGTGTCGTGGATTGCAAGGCTGACACCACTCGGACATGGCCCACAAGGACTAGTCCGGTTGACCCTGCCGTGCCTCCTGTCAATGGCAGGGGGACTGCGCAAACCGAGCAAGCAGAGACACGGTGCGCCAGCGAATTGTTCTATAGATGTACACATGCTAACATAGTTGCCTGTCGATGCTATATGTCACCAAGGTTGGGTCCGACCCCCTTCATGGAATTTTGACGCCACTGGCGACCCCTCGTGGGCGTTGCTCGGGCCTCCTGAACCTCCAGAGGAGGCCCGAAGACGGCCCAGATCGGCGCACGAGGGCCCCAAACTGCCTCCGAGACGGCCCAAGATGGACCCAGCACGGCCCAATGCAGCCGCAAAATGGCCCCAGGGGCGTTTCGGATGCTCCAAGTTGCTCCACGGGGACACCCAAGACGCCCACGGGTTCGAAATTCATTTCCCAGGAGGCCCGATATCAGAGAGTGTTCATTAGTTTTTGAATGTTTGTTTCGCACGCTGCCCATCTCGGACTCTCCAGGATCCTATGCGCCCCCAACTAGGCTCCAACACGGCTCCCGGACAGCTCCCAAATATAATTTGGACGGCTCCAAGGAGCCCTCGTGGGCGCTTTTCGGGCCTCCAGGATACGGCCAAGATCGGTGCACGGGGACCCAAGGTGGACCCAAGACAGCCCAAGATGGACCCAACACGGCCCAATACGGCCGCAACACTGCCCCAAAGCGTTCCAGATGCTCCAAGTTCTTCCAAAATGACACCCAAGAGGCCCGAGGGGCCCAAATTCATGTCTCAGGAGGCCCGAACTCATAGATTCGTCATTAGTTGTTGTATTTTTCGCATGACGGACAACATGGTTCAATATTGCTTCCACGACGCCTCAATGACAGCCAAATTGCTGCATAGCGACGTCCAGGAGGCACCGGAGGGCCCACCTGCGTTCCCCGAGACAGCTACACAGGCCCAAACAACGGCCCCACCGCTCGACGATGGCCCAGCATAGCTTCCAACACGGCCACCCCCGGAACATCAGCCCTCAGACAACCCCAAGACACCCCGAACGCTCCACCGACTGCGCCTTCCGCCACCTCTAGTCTTCTTCGCAACCTCTATAGAACGCTCTTCACTAACATCCCTCTACATGCGCACCTTGCACACAGCATCCCTCCAGATACCCTCGGAGCCAACCACGGCGCCCTCAAGCGGCTAAGGCGAAAACGTCCAACGAAACTATGGGGTGACATTTGGGACAGCTTCTGGATCAATTCCTCCTGCCGGACGTTGTGGACACCGGCCACGCCACACCCTCGCGCGCACGCCCACTCGCGCGCGCGCGCGCTGTCGTCCACTTGCCGTCGTGTTTTGCGGTTGTCCTCCACTTCCCTGGCCCTATGCACGCTGTTGGATCCAGCCCAGGGGCCGCCTTTCGGTCCACGCATCGTCCCTACAATGCACTATACCCAAATTTTAAAACGAAGCGCAGCGAACTTCAAGTCTTGTCAATCGATACATGTATTTGCGAACAGAGAGAGAGAGAGAGAGAGAAAAAAAAAAAGAGAGAGAAAGAGAGAGAAAAAATACAAGCAAAGCAACACATGCCATAATCCAGGGCGGTGATACTTGGTGTCGAGGAGATGGAGGCGAAAGGCGAATCGTTCTAGCGAACCAGCTCAAGGCAAATCCAACCCTTGTTCGACCAGACTACCTTGCATCCGCCACAGTGGCAGTGTGCAGCGCCGTGCTGATCTGAACGGCAAAACCAAAGCAAACGATTGCGAACATTGTCGAATGCACCTGCGCAACCGCTCGTCCACCAGAGTCGCCACATATAGCCCTACTGCAACAACAGTTTTGGCGGCATCAGTTGGCAACAAGACTTTGCCAGGTGCCCAACGCAACGGCCCACGATAGGCAAGGCACGGGACTACTGGCTGGCGCACATCCAGTGAGCAAGATGCCGACGTCAAGCCCACAGGAGAGGAGGCGGGCCGTGTCTTCGGAGGCCCCTCATCGTCCTCGCCCTCGTCGACGCCCTTCTCCTTCGAGGAGACACGCTAGACATGTGTACCGACCCTGGCCTGGACTGTCCTGGGCCCAGGATGGGTGCACACGCCCTCCTGCTCGGCTCGGCCAGGGAGGCATGTGCACGAAGCCTGGGCCCAGGACGGGCCTGTCCGGCATCGGTGTGAGCGCATATTTTCCGCCCGAGTCTTCCTCCTGTGGACAAGCGCGCTCCACTACTCGCAGAGTATCTATGTACGGGGCAGCGGGGGTTTTACGATCTATTGTATCTGGGCTTGTAAGCCCCAAAGGGGGTCTGCACCTCTGCGGCGAACATGGGGGCCCTGGCAGTCCGGGCGAAGCGGTTCGAAGGCCGATTCGGGGCGCGGCCAGGAGGATGGCCGAGGTGCCGGGCAGGGAGGATGGCCGAGGTGCGGGGCTGGGAGGATGGCCGAGCTGGCAACGCCTGCCACAAGGTGCGCGACCGTCCCAGACCCCCCGGTGCTCACAAGCCTCGGCGAACATGTGTTCTTCGAGCGGTTGCGAGTAGGCACTTTGTGCGTAGTTAATTAGTGGAACGCGCTCGGTGGTCCTTGTTCGCCTCCCCTTCTCACATGTTGCTCAGTCGCCAACGCGGTCGGAAAGCTGGCGGGCCGCGCCGGGACGAGGGGCTGGGGCACACCAGGCGACTGGGGAAGAGAGGAGGGCGGCCGCGCAGGAGGCACGCGGGGCGAGGCCTCGGGCGCAGAGGCTGGCGGCGCGCACAAAGGGGGTGGAGGGAGGGGGGGGAGGCTTCTCAGAAGGCTGCTTCTCAGAAGGCGCTGGCCTTGCATCCACAGAGGAGGCCCGCGCCTTCTCAGAAACAGGGGTGCCTCTAAGATCTTCTATCGGGGATGGACAAACCTCCCTTTAGTAAAACGTGGTTTAGTGAAAACGACTTCGGGCCCAAACCTGGCGGGCGCCCTCTCGAAAACCGAAAACGGACAATTCACTAATCGACGTGTCACTGTTGGGGGTTCTGTCCACCCCCAATTCTAAGAAGCCCTCCCCCCTCCCCCTCCCCCCTCCGCGCGTGGCTGCAGAGAACCTTCGCCACGAGGCGTGCGCAGGATCGGTGGATGCTCATACAGTCGAGGCGCTGACCTAAGGAACCCCAAAGAAGGAACGAGGCCCCTTTTTCCCATAGGTCAAACTTCGACTTCCCATCGAAGCCCTAAGCAAAACCAAAGGCGAACTGCAAAACAAGTAAGGAACACCGAGCCCCTCCCCAACGAAAAAGGTTCCTTCCTCAGCGCCCCGACTGTGCGCAGTTCTCGCCGCCCGAATTCATCCCTTCCTCCACTTCTTCCCATACAGGCAGGTGGCGAGCCGCGACTCCTGAAGCCCTCGTCCACCCCGAAGTAGACCACCAGGCCGTTGCCGGGGTCGATGTCGTGCAAGAAGAAGCGCTGCGTGTCCTCCCGCGCTGGTATCAGCGCCGGAACCTGACAGGCGCCGGCCAACGCGGAGGAGGAGGAAAACGAGCACGGGTCGATGGCAAGACGCGAAGGCGCTCATGCTGGGGCTAATTTAAACTCCAGGACGTCCGCCGACATGGTCTGTCCAATCCGCGGCCCCAGAGGTTCCGACCGCTTCGCCTGGGGTGGCTTTTCGCCCCCGATCCGTCTTGACGGCCCCAGGCCCGAAAGCGGCCCCCGAGTGCCGAACTCGAGGAGCACCTCCTGGATCGACAATGTCATATCGCCGGTGATCTGGGATGCTGTGCGAGATCGTTCCTGGACCTGCGTGGCACCCCTTTGGCTGGCTGGCACGGTGGCCCGTCGGCTCGGCGCCGCTCTGGCGAATGGCGAGGATGCCTGTGCGAGGCCTCCCCAGCACCAGTGCGCCGGACAATTTCTTGCGGCGCGGCCAGCATGGAAGCCCATCGGCCGGGCGTCGCACCTGGACGCCGGTGGGATCCCCGGCTAGACATCCTCGTGGCGGTGCGTTGAGACTGCCTTCTGGCCCCTGGCGGAAATGTGATGAGATGTGTGTGTGTGTTTTGTGAGCCGGGCCGACGCGGACGCTTCTCTGACCCTTTCTACTCCGCGACGCCGCGCGCTTGGCGGCGGCGCCCCCAAATGTGTGTGTGTGTGCGTGTGTGTGTGTGTGTGTGTGTGTGTGTGTGTGTATGTGTGTGCGTGTGCGTGTGCGTGCGCGTGTGCGTGTGCGTGCGCGTGTGCGTGCGCGTGCGCGTGCGCGTGCGCGTGCGCGTGCGCGTGCGCGTGCGCGTGCGCGTGCGCGTGCGCGCGCGTGCGCGCGCGTGCGCGTGCGCGTGCGCGTGCGCGTGCGCGTGCGCGTGCGCGTGCGCGTGCGCGTGCGCGTGTGCGTGTGCGTGTGCGTGTGCGTGCGTGTGCGTGCGTGTGCGTGTGCGTGTGCGTGTGCGTGTGCGTGTGTGCGTGTGCGTGTGTGTGCGCGTGTGCGTGTGCGCGTGTGTGTGTGTGTGTGTGCGTGCGTGCGTGCGTGCGTGTGGGTGTGTGTGTGTGTGTGTGTGTGTGTGTGTGTGTGTGTGTGTGTGTGTGTGTGTGTGTGTGTGTGTGTGTGTGTGTGTGTGTGTGTGTGTGTGTGTGTGCGTGCGTGCGTGCGTGCGTTGCGTGCGTGCGTGCGTGCGTGCGTGCGTGCGTGCGTGCGTGCGTGCGTGCGTGCGTGTGTGTGTGTGTGTGCGCGTATGTGTGTGTGCGTGTGTGTGTGCGATTGTGTGTGTATGTGTGTGTATGTGTGTGTGTGTGTTTGTGTGTCCTGGCCGCCGTCGGGCTGCCTTTCCCCCCCAGCTGCTGCCCTGCGCCGAGGCTGGCTCCCCCCCAGGCGTCCGCCCCGCCGCAGCCAGGACTTGCATGAGCGTGCCCGGATTCTTCTCTTCCTGTTGCGCCGGGGTCTCCTCCTCTCCTCCCGTACATTACGGCCCTATTGGCATCTAGCGCGCCCCACTGATGCCTGATCGCCGGAACAGTAACCTCTGCCCAGCCGCCGACGCAACATGTGTGTGTGTGTGTGTTTATGTGTCATGCCGGCACGGAGTGTCGCTCTTGTCCTGGAAGCGCCCGTAGTATCCTTGCTTGGCCGCCATGGCGGTACATTCATATTGGTTTCAGACGACAACTGTGGTGGCATGGAATTCCATGTGTTGCTCGCGCGCGAGCTGAACCGTTCAGACGTCTCGGGCCTGACTGGGCAAAGCAGTGAATGCTATACCGTGCCTGCCTCTCCACTGGTGTAGAGTGACGACGGGAAGGGAGGGACAAAGAAAACGAACAGAATACGAATAATAACAATAAGAACACAAATCATAACACTAAGAATGACATCAACAATAATAACAATAAGAAAAAGACACAAACGGAATATATATATATATATGTTGGACGAAACGCAACATAATATCAAAGACAACGAAACACCTACCAAAGCCTGGGACTCGAGCAAGAGGAAAAGGATGAGGTCGTTGCTGCTGCTGTCGGCGCCTGCAGCCACTTGCGAGCCCTTCCTCTGCGGGTCCGATCGCCGGTGGAGTAGGACGGGCAAGGTTCACCTGGCTGCAAATACTATTCTTCGGGTTCTGAACCACCGCCTGCGCTCAAACACATGAGCTGCAAGGCGTATGTGGCCGGCTCCGGAAGCCCTAGGTGCCCCAGGGTTGAACCCCCCCCCGGTGGGTCCACCCGCGATGTCGCCGCGGCTCCGCCGGCGGAGCCGCATGCGCTTTTCACCTCCCCGCGCGCGTGGAGCCCGTGCCCGTGTGGATGGAGGCCTGCTGCGTGGGGAAGCCAGCTACGCAGAAAGCACCTATACACCACCACCACCGTGCCAGGCCAGGGCCATCCTGGGCCCCAGGATGGTGCATACGCCCTCCTGGCCGAGCCAGGGG